ACAATGCAGAAAACAGCCTATTAAAGATTGAGTATAACACTATTCAACAACTTTCTCCACCTGCAGGACTTGTGATATATATTGGAACACATAAGAAGTAAACCCATAGAACAGGGGATGACACCTTTTAACCCAACACCAAGTTCGAGATATGACACTCATCATCTCAGAAATCCCTAATTAATATGATCAACGAGTCTACTCTATATACCCATCTATACTGAGCAGATTGGGCAGAATAGTAGGCCTAGAAAAAAATATTACTACTTCCAAAGAGAAGGTCATAAAAAACAAATATATATAACTTCCACTACCACTGTCCTTGGTATTTCAGTTATTTTCCCATGAGTATAACAATCAATTAAAGCCCTATGTCTCTGTAATTAGATTCCCTACAGTAAACTCCACAACGAAATCTTATCCCTAGAACGCCCATTAATTGGAAAAATTCAAGAAAACAAAAATACCTTTCTCAAAAGAGAGCTCAAGTCCTGAGGATGAGACTTTGCAATATCTCCGATCTGCCTAGCTGCAGTTAACCGCGTAGTTTGTGTTGAACCAGCTAACAAGAGAAAAATATAAATCAAGGAGAACACGTACAATCTCCAAATATTAACCAATTAAACAAAAATACATTATCAAAAAAGGATACTGTCCAACAATGTGAGGAGACGACTGAGTCGCGAAGATTGTTGTTGTTGCTGAGCCATGAATGGCCACAGTGAAGACGACGAAGACAACGAGAACAAGAGTGCACAGGCTTCACTTCCACATCCAAGCTCATCCAATCACTTTCCCAATACTAATAACCCTACAATACAACACACACACATACAATACAGATTAAATCAATCACACGGAATCGCGAAAACGCAAAACCGAATCGGGAATTCGAAAATTGGCATATCGAAAAGCTTTTTATAGTAATTCGATTTGTTCGGGATAGGCGTTTCTCTTTGTGATTTGGAAAATTCGATGGAGGAGGAATATAGATTTATAAAGGAAGGGAAGGAAACAGAATTAGGGTTTATAGGTTACCTGGTTAGGCTGCGAGGTTGTGAAGAGAAGAGGATGCTTATGCTGATATATAATAGCTGGTTTGTTCCTTCTTCCTCCTCCTCCTCCTCTTTTTATTTTACCCTCCCGAACAAAAAAAAAAATTGTGAAAATAAAAATAAAAATTAATAACAAAAAAATGGGGGAGGCCCGTTCTTTTTTCTTTTGTTGGGAATAAAACCGTTCTTCTCGTAACTATGCCAAGACTTGATTAATTAGAAAATAATAAAGAATTGATGAATTAAGAATATTAACAGAATTTTAAAAAAATTGATGACAAATACTCCAGTCCAATATGGAAGTTTATTGACAACTAGGGTTAAACCCGCCCTACGGGCAGTGAGCAAATTAAAAATCACAAAAATTATATTAATCATATTTAACAAATTTATTGGTGACTGAAAATAATTAATTTTCAATATTTGTTTTTGTTGTTCTTGTTAGACATGCATGTAATTAATTAATGTAATTATTTTTTAAAAATTTAGTATGTTTTATTATCAAAATAAGGAAAATATTCATAACTATTTAAATCCAATACATAAATCATTTGTTTTCTCTATTTTATACATTTATTTTTAGATGTTTAGTTATTTAAATGTTTTTGTTCTATAAATAATTAATTTTTTCTCTAGTAGTTGATCCGTGATTTGCATGATTTTTTTTATATTAGATATTTTGTTTAACACTTATTATTATTTTAAAATATGTTATTATCATTTTATATGAATTATTTTATTTAATTACTAATTATCAATTTCTATTAAAAGTGTTTAATGTTTTGATATTCGGTCTTACTCTCATTGCAAAAAATTAATTTCATAATAAAATTATTGATATAATTTAGTGACACTAAGACTATTTTTATTTTGAATCTATAGATATTTTTTTTGGTGCATTTGTCTTATTTTAGATTATGTAGTTTGATTTTTACAATTATTTTTACCTTATTTTATATAGCGTCTCTTTCATAAATATTTTGTTTTTAATTTTCATGTCCATATTAAATTTATGCTTGAAGATTTTAGGGAATTCATAACATATGATTTCTCTTTTATAACATTATTTAGATATACAATAATCTTTGATCTCTTGTCATCATAAGAAAAAAAAATTATCGCTTGTTCATTATTTTTTTATCTGTTATACATTAATTTATGTTTTTCACTAATTGTTATTGAAGTCTTCATTTTAATTATGTATTTTTTTTGGCTATAGATTTTCATTAATTTTTTATTAACAATTAGGTATCAAATTTTATCTTAATGTATTTGTTAGCTGTTAATTTTCCCAAATTAAAAGTTAGTAATGAACACACAATACCTAATACTTATAAGTATAACTTAACATTCCGGTCATATCATATTTATATTTCAGACCAGGTTAGGAATCTGAAAAGTTCAATAGGTATAGGCCTAATAAATGTTATTTTCATAACTAAAGAGATTCCGTTATTGAACCGAACGAAGAAAAGGGCATTCAACATTCGGAAATTGGGGTTGCTGCGTGTTACATCGAACCCACTTAACCTGTAAACTGACCCTCCACTGATACGCTGTCTGAACATGAATTGACGGTTCGCATTAACAGAACCTTGAATAACCGTTATTTTTTAGACAATCATAATGGAACCAACCGTTAAAAACGTTAATCGTCAAGGAGATGCTTATATTCTCGTCGATGAGAAGTATGTCTAGACTCATGAGCTTGCCGCCTTTCCGCACATTTCTAGCCTCCCAAAACCTCTGCAAGTGAACTTCTGTGGTGTTGGAGCAGCGTCCGACTTTCAAATTGGCAAGGAGGATGGAATAAATCACCATTGCAGCACTCGAAAAGTTGAACAAACTTTTCTTCTAATGCTCGCCGAAGATGTGTTGTTCATGTCTACAAAAGGAATATATATACTCACACCACTAAATGGTTATTTTCCTGATGCGATAAGGTGTTTCAATGATCCAAAGTGGGTTAATCACTTATAAAATAGGAGGAAAGAATGTGTGAATCAAGTGTGCGTCGAGACATTACAGAGAGTTGATAATTTATTACGATATCTACAACTCTCGTCGGCTGATCTAGGGATTATAAACGAAGATGACGATCAAATCTATAATATTAAAAGATCTCTATAATCCGAAAGTTTAAACGTAATCTACAACAATAAAAACCCAAAAAAATATGCATTTTAACAATAATATATTTTTTTCTAAAATAATATTTTTTTTAGAACAAATATTTTTTAAATTTTAATGAGGTGACACATGGCATTTTTTACCCCCCCCCCATAGAAAAAAGCTAACTTTATTATATAAAAATGAATCTACCTACAAAGTATAAGAGTCAATAATTTTGATATAGATTGTTCTCTTTCGGACTGAATATTTGAAGATAGACTAGCATACAAAGTATATGTATTACAATGTACATATTCATATTTTGATGCACATATCTTAATTTGGTTGGATTTTTTGTTTGACAACAACTTTGTTGGATTACTGGTTTGGTATAAACCATATGTATATAAGGCTGAGTTACTCATTCTGTTGAACCTAATTAAAAAAGGATACATAATATGTAACGATCCTCAATTTAATATGGCTTTTGAGCAACTACATCCTTTATATAGTCAAACCTGGTTTCTTAACCCAAATTATTGTTAGTTTAGTAAACTTTTGGTATTAAAAAAATCATTTACATATTGACATATGGATAGAAAATAGAGATATATAAATTTTTAAAAATGAAATCCTTTCAAATCCACTTAATACTATTAGAGCTCAACATAATTATCTATTTTTAGTTCATTTTTACATTTATTAATTTATTTATCTTGTTTTAGTTAATTTTTTACATATTATTTATAAAACTTGTCATTCTTCTAAATTTATCATTTGTGTGAGTTGTATTATCGTTAGAATTTTATTGTCATATGATTTAGCCTATGCACTGTTCCATGATTCAGTAGGTTGATTTTTTGTCACGGCTGTATTTTAAATCATAAGCCTGATCGATAATTGTGCACTTGTTGATGGTTCATTTTCGAATTTCAGATCATTGATGTCTTCTATTTTCTAAATCATTATCCCGCTTCCTAATTTATTTGGCATTGAGTTTGGAGAAGTTCTCAATCTCGTTGCTCAAATGTTATTGATGTTTTCATCTAATTTTTGAATTTGATCTGCTCACTTTTTACGATAGTGGCTCTTTTGACTAAGTTGGCGATGTTGTATCTCCCTTTTATTTCAAAATGATTTCAGAATACATAAACTATCTATAAATTTAAGTTACAAAAAAATATTCAAATTATGCCTTACACAGTTTTAGAGATGTGGTTTATATATTTTACTTTGATATGTTATCATAGTCATAAACATCTTGCAACTCTGATTCGTCAATTCATGATAACTATGATAAAATTTCTTGCATAGTACTGATCATATATGTTTTCAGTTAGTAATAAAGCAATTGACTAGTGGTATTCGGCTTTAATTGATAGTGTCACTCAACTCAAATATTGGATTTGTTACCGATAAAATCAAAATATGTTAATGACATATTCATGTTGGATCTTGGTCGTAATGCAACATGGTTAATAAAAGATCGATGAACTCAGTCAATACTAAAATATGTCAAAGTTTGCTTCTAATCTTCACTGCTAAAAATTTTGAGAAAACATAGTGAATATATTTATATAAAATAATATCTATCGTGTTTATGAATTTGATCAACGGATTAGTTTTATTTGACAAGGATTTATGAATGTTGTTATTTACTCTAATGGTATTGTCAAACTCTATGACGGAGTTACTGGTATGTACTTATGGAAAAATGTGAATGTAGCATTTTGTTCCATGAAAATCTTCAAAAGCAAAGTAAAGTTACCAAATTTATCATGGAAATCAATGTTTATCATGAATGAAAATGGTTGTTTAGAATACTAGTTTATTTAGCTCGCATATGTTGTAGGTAGTTGATTATCATATATAATAGAGTTAAAAATAAGAGTATTTGCAGTGTACACATTAACTCTTTCCCATAATTAGGTGTATACCCATTTTTGTCTAACTCCGTTTTCATCGAAATAAAGTAGACCTTTATACCCTTATTCGTCTTTATCCCCTCTCAACCTATTACTATTTATTTTTAATTTATTATGTTTTAACCAATCAAAATTGTCTAATATTGTCTCGAAGATAATGAGATCAGGTGAAGAAAAAAACATTCGCTCCGTATAAACAATTATTTTGGTTTGTGTTTCTTAGAGAATGAGATTTTTTGAAACAAAAAAAAATTGTAATAGATGCAGCTTTTTTGGAGGCATAATTACCGGATAATTTTTTTAATAAGCCGCCTCCACTCCGCAGAATCATCTCCGTCGCTTCCATGGCCACCACTTTACAGTTTGGGTGGGCCCTACAACACGAGAGAACAAAAGAGAACTCCAGTGAAACTTGAAGAATCTGTCGCTTCCATGGCCGCCGTTTTACAGCGGTGGTAGAGCTTGTGTCAATTAACAAATTAGGTTTGATTATCTTCGGCCTGTGTTTTAAACTTCGTAGTTGATGGGTTAGATTCTCAAGTTTACCATGTAATGGTTCATAGGACCTTTTCCTTAATGGAAATTAAGTTGACAAAAAAACGTTTAGCTTGACACTAGATTAACTTGTTAGGAATATTTATCATGATAATCATACAATTGAAGATTTCCTACAAATTTATATGATTCAACAAAAATATTAGCCAGCTATAATCTTACCCATGTATCTTAATTATGTTAAGATTTATTTTAAAATGTTAACATATTTAATAATATTTAACAATGTGCTCATTTAATTATGTGTATGCTTGAATTAACCTCTTAATTTTATTGTTAGCCTGTTAATTTATTTGTTAACATATTACTACTTATTCATGTTTTATTTATGTTTTGAATGAATCCTTGAGATATATTGCGAGATGTCTAACATTTTTTTATTGATAGCTAATATTATTTTTAGCTGAGATTTGAAATATTTATCCGGATATCAACATATTTAAGTATATGTGTTCGATTTGTTAAAATTAAGATTATATTCAATAGAAAACGTAAAATTTTAGTAAGTTACATACTACCATGTACACATCTAAATATTATAATATCAATGTAAATATGAAATTAGACGGCTACGTTTGTCATTAGCCACTACCATGTTTAAGCCATCTTTGTATATGATATCATCAATGACAATTACATACTGAAATCGGCTAATATTATTCAATGTGGTTAACATGTTCGGCGTAATCTCATCTGGACCAACTCTATGTAATTGTTGTCATGCAGACAATCATAGACGGCGGAGTTTTGTAACCATGCAAACGAGCATCCCGGTAAGCAGTACGACCGGTGTTGTGTTTCATAGAGAATAACGTTTAAAACAATATTTTTGACACCCCCCCAACGCAAAATCTTGACCAAATTTTTAATATCTTACAAAAATCCAACTATAAAAACCTATTTCTATATACCTACGTCCAAAAAAGTTTAAGCACAATAATGTAAATTACTTTGTCACAGAGAAAAACTAATCCCCACTATTTTTTTCTCTTTGCTATTTTGCTAATTTTCACATTCTCTTAGGATTTTTGACTAATTCACTCTAAAAATAATATAATATAATTGTTATTCAATGTCAAAAGAAAAAAAAATTACCAGTTCTCAAAGAAAAAAAAAACAATTGTATACTTAAAAAATTATTTAGATAACTTTACACTCTTATAAAGCTTATAATTGAGATGAAAATAGTAGGAAATTTCCACCTTTCTGCTGGAAAAAACACAAAAACTTAATTTGTTTAGTTTTTCAATGTTTCTTTACCAAACCAGGTTTGTCCATCATCCATGTTCTACAAAATATTTAAATAGTAAATATCTTTGACCAAATAATAATAATAATAAATATCATATGAATGGAAATAGTTGCACAATTAAAAGAACAGGTAATTTATCACCCATTTAAAAGTTTCTACTTGCGATGAAATTAGTGGGAAAAAATTCCACTTTTTCCTGGAAAAAACAGCCTGAAATTGATGCCTAAACATGCATACAACCAACTCGATTTTACATTTAATATCATCAGCAATGGTCTTTCTTAATGCTTATATATTGTTCTTAAGAAAAACTGGCTTGGTATATAAAAGGAAGTCTTCTTAAAAGATAGTCACAACTCACAAGGCAAGACACAAAAAACTTTTCAAGAGGAGAAACCCAAACAAAGAAAAAAAATCTCAATCTTGGGTGCTTTTGAGAAAACAATGGATAGGCTTGATGGTCCACCACGGCTCATACTAGTCACTGATCTTGATTGCACTTTGGTAACATCCTTAATTTCAACAATATTTTTTTTTTAAACCCATTTTCAAGATTCGACGAAAGAAAATCATATTCCTCAGGTTGATCACGATGATCCTGAAAACACCGATCTCCTTAGATTCAATTCCCTATGGGAAGCTCATTACCGCCATGATTCACTCCTTGTTTACTCCACCGGAAGGTCTATGCGTTCTTACTTGAGTCTGAGAAACAAGAAGCCCTTGTTGACTCCCGACATCGCCATTACTTCCGTCGGTTCTCAGATTGCGTACGGCGGTGGCGAGTCGATGGTGTCGGATGATGTTTGGGTGGGTCGTATGGGTGAAATGTGGAACAGAGAGATTGTTCTCGAGGAAACTTCTAAGTTCACACATCTTGAACCGCAGGTATCTTTTCTGTTTTGCCATTTTGCCTTGTTTTGTTTTGTAGTTTGCATCTTGGTTCTTGGAAGCGTTGACTTTGACTTTATGATTACAACATTCTTAAAGCATCTCTTAACATTAAAATGGGTTTGGTTTTGTTGGCCTATATGAAATTGATTGTGGATTAGTTTAATAGTTTTACTTACCCTGGGATTTTTGTCCTAACCTAACCAATTTTTTTTGTTAATTCGGTACGATTCAGTGTTTTTAATAAAATAAATTGGTTACTTTTATAACTAAATTGTACCAAAAAACCGAACCGAACTAACCAAATTTTGGAACCGAAATAAACGAAATAACCGAACTTAGCTGGAATTAAAGAATTTATTAACAAAACTAAACCAATATCAGAAACTTCGTAGAATTTTCAAAAACTGAACTAACTGAATATCAAACCAAACTTATCTCGGGTTAATTCTGTAATATTTATGTCAAACCGAACTAACCGAAAACCGAACTATCTGAACTGAATAAACCGAACTAACCGAACCCACATTCCTAGTTTTACTGTTTGGTTTTGTTAGAATATATGAAACTGATTGTGCATCTCCTGCTGAATCTTTAGCATTTTGGTTGTTGTTGGTATAAATGAAGCTGGTTGTGTTTTGTTTTACTGTTTGAATTGCTATATTGTATCTCCTGCTGAATCTTTAGCATTTTAATTGTTCTAAAGCTCTTTTCCTTTGGTCTGTTATAGCCAGACAAGAGCCAAGAGCAGCACAAAGTGAGTTTCTTTGTGGATAGAGAACATGCTTTGGAAATAATGAATGTTCTTCCAGGGAGATTATTGGAGCGTGGGGTGAGACTTTCTCTGTGTGACCCCTCCTTTATCATAGATAGTTCCTTTTGGTGCTGATGATGATAGTAAAAACTCTGTATTAGGTGGATGTGAAGCTGATCTATAGCAACGACTACGCTTTAGATGTTTTACCAAAAGGATCTGGCAAAGGAGGTGCTCTGACTTATCTACTTGAAAAGCTGGAGAGTGAAGGGAAGCAGCCTTGTAACATACTTGTCTGTGGTGACTCTGGTAACGATGCTGAGCTCTTCAACATTCCTCAAACATATGGTGTAATGGTTAGTTTCTTTACTGTTTATTAGCTTGCATGGTTCTTTGATTGCGTTGTTGTGATGCTGTTTTTTACTGTTTAAGGTTAGCAATTCACATAATGAACTATTAAAATGGCATGAAGAGAATGCAAAGGATAATCCGAAAATCATTCTTGCCTCCGAGAGATGTGGAGCTGGGATGATTGAAGCCTTACAGAGGTTTAACTTGGGACCAAGCGTCTCCCCAAGAGATGTTTTGGATACAGAGAACTTCCACGTGGATGTTTTGGATCCTGCTCATGAGGTGGTTCTGTTTTATTTGCTGTACGAGAAATGGTTATGTGGAGAGGTGGAGAAGTCTGATAAGTACTTGCAGAACTTGAAATCGATCTCTGTAAGTGTGCTTCTTCGTTTGAATGCTTAGAAAATACTTTACCAATGTATTCTATTAGTTGCTTAGTTGTTGTGTTTTTGAAATGTTTCAGAGTCCACTTGGTATGTTTGTTCATCCGTCTGGAGTTGAGAAACCGATACATGAGTGGATAGATGATTTGGAGAATTTACATGGGGAAGGGAAAGAGAAGCAGTTTCGCATTTGGTTGGATAGAGTCTCGGCTTCTCTTATCAGCCCAGAGACATGGATTGTAAAATTTGACAAGCATGAGTCATCTGGTAAGAGATCTTGTCTTTACCATTTTCAGTTATATCTTCAACAATATAAGATTAGATTATTCCTTTGAGTCTTTACCACATTACCAATCAAAGTTGTCATACTAGATTCAGTTTTCTTAATTTTGTAATGTTCATTTGTGTTTCAAAGACTAGATTCTACTTGTGTACTTGTCTGAGTTAGGAACTGATGTGAACTCTTCTTGATATGTTTGGTACAAGCCAATTGATACAGTTAGATTTCTAAGAAGCACTTTCCTTTTTGAAGATTAGAATAAAAAATCCTTGACTTGATTGTTTCTTCATCATAAGAAATACTATAGAAGTGTGCTTCCATGTTTTAATGTTTTTTTCTTACTTGTTTTGGGTTGTATTCAGAGGGAAAAATACGGTCTTGTTGCACAAGAGTCTTACTAAGTTGTCAGGTAAACCTTGTTTCATGTCATTTTAATTTTACTTAAACGACTTGGTTGATTAAACAGTATTGAAAATCTAAAATGTGGTTTCAAATGAAAAAAGGAGGAAAAGGAAAAGCTGACGTGGATGCACATCCAGCAATCATGGTTGGATAATTCATGTTCAGATGATCAAGACAAATGGATTTTCTGAAACTGGACTGACATATTAAGCTGATGGTACTTGTTTGGGACAAGAGCTAACCACAAAGACATTGTGTTTGTTCTGTTATGTATTGTTTTCATTGATACTGGTTTTACATATTTTAAGAAGTAATAATCAAAGAAGATTGTGCCTGAAGTGGTCTGCATTGGATCATAATTGGTTTGTCAAGGACCTGTTGGGTACAACAAAATCCTACATTTACTTGGTTCATGTAATCTGCTAACTCTTGGTTTTCTCCTTTGTTCATTTGTTCTGTACTTGTTGACTGTTGTCTTCATGACACTGATTAAGAAAGAATGTGTGTTTGATTTTTGGTTTACATGGATTGTTTTGTACTATTTCGGTTTGCTTAATCAAAGATGATATACTGGTGGAGATACAGAAGAACACCATTGTTTAAGCAAAGATGATAATTGTTAGGATAGATGGACAATCTAAGTTCAGAAAATTAAACAGAAATGTATAAGTAATGTTTAACTTTACTAAGTAGGAGATTTCTTTTTATGGAAAAGCATTTCCAAAAAATTTTAAGCACCAAGTCCAAAACCGGACAATATCATAAGCACCTAGTAATGGATATCTGGTTCTAGTTTTGTAGGAAAACGCACCAAAAACATCTCGGCAGAGAGAGTGGTCAAAGTGTTACAACCAGATATATCCATTGACTTCTTCTTCTAACGAATCAAACGTTCCTTAACACACAAGAGTAAATAAAACTGGTTAAGAAAATGGAATACCGAGTGTACTTTGCAACGATATCACAACAATGTAAGCTTATTTGGAGAGATGATCATCCTTATGTGTCCAAGAGAGCAATGTGTGAGAAAGAGATGCTTTCTTCAGTAGTTTTCAGTTCTTTAACAAAAGTTGTATAGTATGTAAGTATCAACAATACACATATCATAGCTTTTTTTTTTGTGGTAAAATCATATCATAGTTTCTTTAAAATAGTTCAGTTCTACTCTTACCTATAACTCTTTTTTTTTTCTTTTTGTCCACTCTACCTATAACTCTTTTTCTTTCTCAAAACTTGTTTGGTTAAGTTTAGTTTAATTACCAAAAAGGCTAAAAACTATACCATTTACTTTAAAACAACCCCAATTTTATTTGAATAAAATAACATTTAATATTTTTCCGTTGTAAGCATGATGAGTGAGTCACTTTTTGTATTGTTTCGAATTCTCCGTCTCTTGAAACCTCTCTCTCCAGATCTCTCTCTCCAACGACGACGATCACTCCGTTATGGCGACGGAGAAATGGGTGTACATGGTGACTGCTCAAACTCCGACGAACATCGCTGTCATCAAGTACTGGGGAAAGAGAGACGAGGTCAGGATCCTCCCCGTTAACGACAGCATCAGCGTAACTCTCGATCCCGATCACCTCTGCACCGTCACCACCGTCTCCGTCAGTCCTTCTTTCGATCGCGATCGAATGTGGCTCAACGGCAAGGTATAATACTTCGCTCAGATTCAATTTATTCGAATTCAAATGTGTATAGTCCGGTTTACCATTAACCGAGTCTAATGTACCTGGTTATGTTTCTTGTTAGAGACAACGAACACGGTTTACTATTCATCTCGTAACAGAATCAGTTACATCCTCCTTTATAGCAATTATATAGGTGAGATAGAATCTGGTATGAAACATAATCGGTTTATAGTAAACCGGTCTATACACATTTGAATACCCGAATCAGTTATTCATCTCGTAACCGAATCATTTACATCCTAATTTGTATATAGGAGAGATAGGATCTGGTATGAAACATTAACCAGGTAGATTAGACTCGGTTTATATTAAACCGGACTATACAAATTTGAATACCAGAATCAGTTATTCATCTCGTAACAGAATCAGTTACATCCGCATTTGTATATAGGAGAGATAGAATCTGGTATGAAACATTAACCAGGTACATTAGACTCGGTTTATAGTAAACCGGACTATACACAATTGAATACCAGAATTAGTTATTCATGTTATTCATCTCGTAACAGAATCAGTTACATCCTCGGAGAGAGAGGATCTGATATGAAACATAACCAGGTAGAATAGAATCGGTTTATTGTAAACCGGACTATACACATTTGAATACCAGAATCAGTTAATTCATGTTATCAGTTACATCCTCATTTGTATATAGGAGAGATAGGATCTGGTATGAAACATTAACCAGGTAGATTAGATTCGGTTTATAGTAAATCGGACTATACACATTTGAATATACCACAACTCTAATAGAAATGTACTTAAGGAAGGAAGGTTGTTAAATGTTGTTTGTGTTGGTGTAGGAGATCTCTCTTTCAGGGAGTAGGTACCAGACCTGTTTGAGGGAGATTAGAAGTCGTGGTGGTGATGTTGAAGATAAGGAGAAGGGAATCAAGATTGAGAAGAAAAATTGGGAGAAATTGAATCTGCATATTGCTTCCCATAATAACTTCCCTACTGCTGCTGGCTTAGCTTCTTCTGCTGCTGGATTTGCTTGTTTAGGTATTCTTGTGGATTTTTCTCTCTCTGATGATGATGAAGATATCTAAAAGAATCTCATACTTGATCATGAGCTTGAAAATGGATTGTAGTTTAATTTCGAGAATGTTCTTTCCTACAGTTTTTTCTCTTGCGAAGTTGATGAATGTAGATGAAGATTCAAGCCAGCTTTCTGCTATAGCCAGGTACAGATGTAGTCCACTTGCTTCCTTGCATTTTATGTTCCTCATGCATTGGCTATTGTTTGATCAACGTTTCGCAATAACTTCCATTTATGCATCGGTGGTAATAGTACAAAGTTCTCTTTTTTTGGTTGAATTACGTGAATTTGATATTCCTTTAGATAGTAACTGGTACTGGTATGCGTAGTTTAACTTTCATTATCTTGTGTAGGCAAGGTTCAGGAAGTGCTTGCCGTAGTTTGTTTGGTGGATTTGTCAAGTGGACAATGGGAAGCAAAGACGATGGAAGTGACAGCGTTGCAGTTCAACTTGCGGATGAGAAGTACTGGGATGATCTTGTTATCATCATTGCTGTGGTATGAATCTTATACTTGGTCGTAGAGTTATTCCCATTCTCCCATCTTCCTGAAATTTATCGCCTGTTTCACTTGTCATACTATTTAAAAAGAATAAGCTATGTGAATAAGTATTTAGCAAGACTCAATTCTAGGTGGCTTAATTTGAACTAATGAACATTTAGAGCCAATTGGTTCATATAGGCACCCTCATCTGCATTATGGCATGATTAACACAAGCTATAAATATATGATATGAACTTTGTGATAGTCCAGGGCTTGCTTATCATGTCTTACATAGCCTGTGACAGCTTCTTTGTTAATATGTATTTATAACTGGTTTAAGCTTATGCTACACCCAGGTGAGTTCACGCGAGAAGGAAACGAGCAGCACCTCTGGAATGCGTGAAACTGTTGAGACAAGTTTGCTTTTACAGCACAGAGCAAAGGTCCGTTCTCTTCTTGATATTTGATGAAACTCTGTAAATATTTATTAACTGTTTAACCTCATATTCATTTTTTTCTTTCTCTGTAGGAAATTGTGCCAAAACGGATTGTGCAAATGGAGGAAGCTATAAAGAACCGAGATTTTGCATCTTTTACCCGATTGAGCTGCACAGACAGTAATCAGTTTCATGCTGTTTGTCTAGATACATCTCCACCCATATTTTACATGAATGACACCTCCCACAGGTATTTTATAATTTGACTGTTATATGCTGCTTCTTCTTATTTTTCTATATCAAACTCCACTTTTCCTTTTAATCAAGCTGTTAACTCCTTCTCCAGGATAATTAGCTTAGTTGAAAAGTGGAACCGTTCTGAAGGAACTCCACAGGTAATACTTTCTACCAAGCTGTTGTTTCTTGCTCGATCTTTTGACCATTTGCTTAGTTCCATGATTTGTTTCCAGGCATTAGGATCTGAAATATGATCGACCACCTTTATCTAAAATCCTATTCCTAAAAAAACCATATTTTTGTGTTCTTGAAGTATATAAACAACAACTAACAATTTCAAATTTGGACAGGTTGCTTACACATTTGATGCTGGTCCAAATGCTGTACTGATTGCACGCAACAGAAAGGTAGCGGTTCAACTTCTCCAGGGGCTTCTCTACTATTTCCCCCCTAAGTCTGACACTGACATGAAGAGGTAACAGATATAAACTTTGATGACTCGTCCACTACTGTTTGTACTGACTTTGGTTTCTTTTTATTACCAGTTACGTAGTGGGAGACAATTCGATTCTAAAAGAGGCAGGATTAGATGGAGCAAACAGTGTAGAGAATCTGCAACCTCCACCTGAGATTAAAGACAACATTGGAACTCAGGATCAAAAAGGAGAAGTCAGTTATTTTATATGCACTAGACCTGGAAGAGGTCCTGTCGTGCTTCCCGACCAAACTCAAGCTCTTCTCGATCCGGAAACCGGCCTTCCCAAGTGAACATTGTCTCTGTTTCAATAGCTCCATCCTTTAACTGAAGATCTTGAAACTGATATTTGTGGCACAATAAGTGCAAGCTTCGTTGTTATCTTACTGCTACCTTTCTTACTACCAATAAAAAAGTCACTGTTTCTGTTTTACCAGAGTACTATTTTTACTACACTGCAACATAAACAAAAAAAATATGCTTTCATGATACATAATTTGCTTATCCTAGTATCCGATAAATTTTGGTACTTCAGTGAAATCTTTTAATAAACTAGCAGCTTGTACATGTCCTCTCCAACAATGTAAATTATGGTCCTATCGTCATCCTCCATGTCCATATCACAACAGATTGCAAAACAAAGTCGCTCCTCCATGACAACTCCTTGGCTTCCTCATCAACTTTATCGGCCACCCAAATCTTAATCACACCTGACCATTCCCTTGTCAAATCAATTCTCAAATAATAAATGTATAGAGATAATAATGTGTCAAATTACTTCTCAAATAATAAAACTATAGTGATAACATAACATTTGTCAAATCACTTCTCAAATTATAAAATTATAGAAATAACATGTGTCAAATTACTTATCAAACAATAAAATTATAGAGACAACATGTATCAAGTTACTTATCAAATAATAAAATTATAGAGATAACATGTATCAAATCATTTCTCAAATAATGTCTAGGAAATAACTCAACTTTCACTTCAATCATTCCCAATATATACTTTCCACTCGTATGGATTACACCTAAACATATAAGCCGAGAACCGAAAAAACTAAAACAATATTCATAAATAACTGAACAATTTTTATATCTCAAAAATCAAAAAACAATACCTAAGGGAGAAGTAAAGTACCAAAA